ATAACTTAGTGTAAAACTCGTGCAATACACAAGTTAATTAAAAAAAAAAGATTAAATATATAAATGTAAAAAATAAATATTATTAAAAATAAAATTTTGAAATAAATAAAGAAAAACACATTAATTGCAATTTTTTTTATCACATATATTACATTTAACACTTTACGTATATAAGTACCATATAACTTTAGTTTTGAAAATTGAAAGAATCTATAAATTGACATTTGAATATTATTTTATTTTGACAAAATTTCATAATTGGTCCTCGTGGTTTGCAAATTATCTCATTTAGAGTATTTCAAGAAAACGTCACTCCACTAGTCCCTATGGTTTGCAAACATACTTGAAAGGTACTTCTACCGTTAAATTTAACTTTTCAGTTGTTAGATTTTAGTGCAAAAAGATATTTTAACCTTGTATCAAATTTCGAATATACTATAAACCTCAAGGACCATTTGTGAAATTATATATATATATATATATATATATATATATATATATATATATATATATATAACTTCAACAATTTGATAACATTTTTTAATTGTTTTGTCATTTTGTTTTCTATTTTTATTTTATAATTTTAGATATTTATGGTTTTTTTAATGTTTATTTATTTATTTATTTTGAATCAAGACAATAAACTTAAATTCGATAAACCATATCAAAACCGTTTTTTTTCTTATTTTATGAATTGAAGTGTTAATGTTTTTTTTTATTTTTTTATTTTATGTCGGTACAATTCATATTTTTTACTTGTATGCTCCATAATTGATATCGGTAGCAAGTTTATGTTGCATTTATCATTATTATTAATTCACATTTTGTTTTCTATTTTTTTATAATTTCATTTATTTATTTTTCTTCTGTTTTTTTTCAAGTAATGAAAAATTAAAAAACAAAAAATAAAAAAGCAAACACAAAAACTGTAATATACTTTAATACATTAATTTATTTTATACTTTACATCTTTTTTTTTTCTTTTTTTTGTATTTTTTTTTTCAAAATTTTCGTATTACTTTTTTATTTTTTTTTTCAAATTATTATTTTTTTATTTTTTTCCTATTTTTATTTTTTTTCATTGTTTCGTTTTATTTTTCATCAAGATGATAACTTTTTCCACATTTTCCAAAAAATATAAAATGTATGTATCAATTGAAGTGTTAATGTTTTTTTATTTTTTTATTTTTTTATTTTTTATTTTATGTTGTTACAGTTCATTTTTTTTACTTGTATGCTCCATAATTGATATCGTTAACAACTTTATATAGCATTTATCGTTATTATTAATTCAAAATTTGTTTTCTATTTTTTTATAATTTCATTTTTTTTTCAAGTAATGAAAAATTAAAAAACAAAAAATAAAAAAAGCAAACACAAAAACTGTAATATACTTTAATACATTAATATATTTTATACTTTACATCTTTTTTTTTTGTATTTTTTAGTATTTTTTTTCAAAATTTTCGTATTACTTTTTTATTTTTTTCAAATTATTAGTTTTTTATTTTTTTTTTCCTATTTTTATGTTTTTTCATTGTTTCGTTTTTTTTCATCAATATGATAATTTTTTTCACATTTTCCAAAAAGTGTAAAATGTATGTATATTATAGTATGTTCGCATTTTTTGGTTTGTCTACTTGTTTTATACAATTTTGGTTATTTATGGTTTTGTAACTTTTTTATTTGATTCAAAATAACGAAAGTCATAAATAACTAAAATTCTAAGAAAAAAAAAAAAAAAACCAAAATAAGTCAAATCCAAATTGTAATATACCCTAATATATTCATAAAATTTTTAATTTTTGCAAAAAGATTAAAAAAGTTATCAAATTGATGAAAACAAAATGAAATAACGAAAAAAATAAAAATTAAAAAATTAAAAAATAATACGAAAAAATTAAAATAATATGAAAAAAAAAGATGAAAAGATTAAAATGTATTAATATACTATTTTAGTGTTTGAGTTTTTATTTTTTGTTTTTCTATTTTTCATTACTTGAATCAAATAAATAAACACAACAAAAGAATAATAAATAAGTGACATTATATAATAAAAAAAAAATTAGAAAACAACATGTGAAATAATGATTATGATAAATGCAAAAAATTTGCTAATTATATAAATATGGAGCATCCAAGTAAATAAACATAAACCATCATGACATAAAATTAAAATAATAATAATAATAATAATAATAATAATAAAAGTTAATGTTTCAATTCACAAATTAGAAAAATTAAAGAAAAAACGGTTTTGACATGGTGAATCAAATTTAATTTTGTCTACTTGCATCAAAATAACTAAAACATTAAAAAAAAATCATATATAACTAAATATATAAAATGAAAATAGAAACTAAAATGTCAAAAAGATAAAAAAAACAATTATTGAATTTTTAAAATTATATATATATATATATATATATATATATATATATATATATATATATATATATATATAATATATATATATATATATATATATATATATATATTCGAATTTACAAAATTACATAAATGGTTCTTGAGGTTTTTAGTATATTAGAAAAATAGGTAAATAAGTAAAATAGTTTTTTTATTAAAATCTAATAGTTAAAAAGTTAGATTTAATAGCAGGATGATCTTTATATAATTTTGACAAAATTACAAGATTGGTCATTGTGACATTCAAAAACTTTGGATGGGATCCAAAAACATTCTCACTTGCATGGGAGTTCAAAAATCAAAACATTTCCGTGATATTGGTAAAAAAAACTTGAAAAGACGATTATGTCCTGTTATTTTATTTTTTGTATTTTTATAATTATTATAATAGTTTTTTAATTAAAAAATAAAGAAAAAAAGAAAAAAATACCCCCACCCCACCCATTCTCTCTCTCTCTCTCTCTCTCTCTCTCTCTCTCTCTCTCTCTCTCTCTCTCTCTCTCTCTTCCTTATTCATACACATAAAGATAAGGTTGATCAATATGAAGATCTGGGAAACATATGAAGATGAAGAAATCAAGGGAAAGGTGAAAAGATATTGTGTTTATCTCATAGCTAAAAACAAATGCCAGAAATTAGGGGAAAGAAATTTAGTACTTGCCTTCAAACACAAAGAAACAAATAAAATCAACAAATCAATATAGCGTCTCCAAATTTTGTCTCGTCTTCAAATCTTAATTGTGGAGATAGATTTTGATTAGGGTTAGAGATAAATCAGACGACATCACCGTTTGAAACCTAGCGTTCGTCGGAATGACGGGGACAGTTGATTGCTAGGATTTTTAGTGATTGGTTGCTAGGAGGCGACGACTGATTGCTAATCAAGATTTTGAATGAAAACCATAATCCACAGCTTGATGCAAAAACAAAAACGACAAGAGCAGCGACATCAGTTTTTGATTAAGGATCTGGAGATCTTTTTATCGACTATGTGTCATTTTCATATCTTATAGTTTCTTTGTTTTATCCTGAAAATCAAGGGTATTTAAGATCAGAGGTTTCTAGGAGACTGGTGGCCAACAGTGGTTTTAGTGACATTTTGATAATTTGGTGGTTGTCCTTTCTGGTGGAGACGAACACCCTTTCATCCCTTTCTCCCCTCTGTTGAAATCGAAGACCTAAGCTGACACCTTTTTAGTATATGCTTAAATCGAGAAGTTCATTCAAACGTTGATTATCTTCAGAAATCAAAAGCTATTTTATTCATCCATTCATACAAGATCTGGAGAGAGAGAGAGAGAGAGAGAGAGAGAGAGAGAGAGAGAGAGAGAGAGAGAGAGAGAGAGAGAGAGAGAGAGAGGGGTAAGGGTTGGGTGGCCCAATTCTTAATTTCATTTTTAATTTTTAATTAATAAATTATTAAAGAAAATATAAAAAATACAAAAAAAAAAGTGCAAAACAGTATTTTCAAGATTTCTAGGGATCAAAATCAAAGGAAAATCTTGATTTTGGATCATCTATGCAAGTTAAAAAACTTTTTGAACTTTATCCAAAGTTTTTGAATTGTCTATAATTTTGCAAACCACAGAACCAATAGCATGATGTTTTTCTTAAAAGTTCTCAAAATGAAATATTTTGCAAATCATATGGATAAATTATGAAATTTTGTCTTTTATTTCAAACAGATATCAAAACTTATGAGAGGTTGATCAAAATTGATTTCTATTTATTATAGTATAATTATAGTAGATATGAAGATCAAATATTCACAAGGAAGAAAATGAGAATGTATAAAGATGACAATTGGCTTTGGGAGGCAAACACTATGCATCAACCCACACTAGATAATACCAATTCTTTGGTAAACATAAGATCAGTAAAGTGCATAGTTTTGTACATCTTTGAAAAGTTCAAAACTAACACAGAGGCAAAAAAACAAAACAATAAGAATGATCTACGACCAATTCTGTCTTCCTAGGTTACCAAAAACAAGAAAGCATGTTATTTTGACCGACAAAACTTCGATCCATATTGAATGCCAAGCTTTCTTGCCCCATATATCTATGAGAAATAGAGAAAGAGAGGGAGTGGGAGAGAATCATGTGCGAAAACTCATAACTTTTGAATTATTTTAGAGGCTTGTACGTTTCTTGAAACAAAACAAAATACATGAACCTTAATTACATGTCTAGAACATATTCTAGGGCTTTGACATGTCTCTCATCCGATTCTGTTTCTCCAAGAAAAAGCGTTCTGTCTATTTTTAAAGGGCTTAAAGACATAAACATATTGAAGAAAGACCAACAAAAAGCTGGATAACAGCTGGGCAGCGGTTGGAAGTTTGGATTTATAGAATTTTTAGAATGCACCAAGATTTATAAACATTCAACGTAAAAGTATATATAGATAGGAATTGAGAAGTACTTCACCTAAATATTTTACTCTCATTCGTGTTGTGACATTGTGCTTCCTCCTCTTTCCATGGGTAAAAAACATTAAATAATTGTAGTTTTAAGCTGATAGAAGCAGTGAAGTCTCTCTCTGGATCGATTGATTAATATGGAGGCCATATATTATGGATAATGACCAAGACGTAGCTCCAGATCAACTTCTTTTTCAAACCAATCTTCTTGCCCAACCTTCGTACTCCCTATATTGCTTACATCCAATTCAGAGGTCCCAATTCCAAGATTCAGATTCACCCTCAAACTCTCCTCGTGAAGGGTACGACTATGGAACTCCGATGCAGCAAAACTCCATGGCGAATTAGGGTTTGATGCTGTAAATTGATAGCCATGATCACCCGTAGGATACACAAAAGAAGACCTCAAATAATTAGCCTCCTCATTAGGAACAAGTTTGAAAGAATTAGGAGAAACTATCAAGTGATCTTTGTTCGTGTTTGCTGAAGCACTAGTAGTTGTAGTAAGAGCGTGTTGGTGTTTAGCTTTGGCTTTGTCTTTTCGATGGATGTTCATGTGACCTCCTAAGGCTTGAGCGTTTGTGAACCCCCTTTTGCAGTAGGTACACTCATAAGAACGGCCAAGACCATCTTTGGCGCTATCAGGAGGCAACGAGCAACCACTAGGTTCCTGATCGCTAGAAGTTTCTGAACTCACGTGCTTCTCAGAATACATAACGTTTAGAAGGGATGACGATGGACAGTTTACTGGATTTAAGGGTATACCAAGATCAAAAAATCCCTTTCGTCGAGAGAATAGAGTGATTGTAAGAGTTAGGGTTGATGAAATTAATTAGGAAGAAAATGGTGGGAGGTTATGTATTGACCAAAAGGAACGTTCCATTGGAGATGAGTGACATTAAAAACGGATTTTCTTAGTTGTAATTTTGTGTTCGGCCGGCCTAGAATTTACCTTTGTGTTTACGTCTAAATTATACGAATTCAAATGCTGATGTTAGTGGTATGTATTTTCATGGCAACTTAAAAATATTAAATTTGAATATATACGTCTTGGTCTTTGAAGAAAATGTAACATCTCTCTCTCTCTCTCTCTCTCTCTCTCTCTCTCTCTCTCTCTCTCTCTCTCTCTCTCTCTCTCTCTCTCTCTCTCTCTCTCTCTCTCTCTCTCTCTCTCTCCATAGAATTCACAATTCCGCATAGTTGGAGGGTCTATACAGAATAGATCCGCAAAATTATTAGTCCAGCAAAATTTAGTGATCCAACGAGTCTAGCTCTAGCTCTATATTGTTATGATAAGTTGACTATTATAGTACTTTTGTATAAGACATAATATCTTAGCATATCTGTATTTTGTGTCAATGTACTGTTTTATTAGAGATATGATTCTCATAACCTAGTATTTACATCTTTGTACTAGGTGTCGCTCATATACCCGTGAATGTACTTCTATAAATAAACGTTTATGGTTTTATAGAAACTTGTTCATGTTTAGTTTTATCAACACAAAAACTATTCTACTTTACATTTCTTGTTCTTCATTTTATGTTATTGTTGTTTATATTATATCATTTTTAATTATACACTTAACTAGCTTATTGTTTGGAGGTTAAAAGATCCTCAACCAATTGGTATTAGAGCCAACTTGATTACACTACTACAAAACTAGGGAGTAGAGCCAACTTGATTACACTACTACAAAACTAGGGAGTTTTGACGACCATATTCATTAGAAATGTGTTGGAAACAACTATTCGCGACACTTTTTGTCAAAACAAATTTGGTTGCAAATAGTCCTCAGAGAACTTTTCTTACATATTTTCAGCAATGCTTCTGACAAATTTATAACAAATAAATACCATCCGAAGTACCGACCCTCTCCCCATACACCACATTTTTATGGATTTCCGACAAATTTCCTACAAAAAAATTTTCAAAATAATTATATCATACACATTTTCTGTTGTAAATCAGAACCAATAAACACGCAAAGAAACTGACAAATAATATTGAGAATTATATATTGATTACTTACGAATAATAGATCCAATTATTATTAATAAAATTACCAGATCAATCATTCTCGATTAGATATGGTTAGAAGAAAGGTGGAAGGAGGGTGCCAAGTTATTGGACGAGACTAATCACAAGACAGTAATGAAACACCGACCTGCTAACGACCGATCTTGATCTTAAAGACCTACACAGATCAGACTCTTGTCCTTAAAGGTTTTATTTCGTTTGTATCGGCTGTAAGCAACAAAGTAAAACCCTACGAATTAATGCAAATTTACCGAGTTTCCAACAACAATGGAAAATGATAAACACAAAGTGAATACTGAGAAACTGGAAGAAATCGCCAAGAATACTGAGAGAGCTTTGAATTTTCATGCATCAAATACGAATCCTAGAGAGCGATATTTATAGATATCGAAACCCTAGAAGGCAATAAAGGGGCCCTTCATAGGCCGACCCCTTAGAAACACTTGGGCACCGACTTGCTCTCCAAGAAAGCTGTTTTCTAAGCTTCTAGAATATTTTGTTACCTTATTCACGAAGTCAATGCTGGTCAACCGTTTGACCGGATTGATCAAACCGAGTTGAGTCGAACTTGCCAAAAATAAAAGCTCTTCGGCTCCTAGTGACCAATGCACCGAGCGAAGTGCTAAGTGCACCTAAATCATGTTATTTCGTGCGCTCGCGACATCGGCTAGTTCTAGGCTAGGTTAGGCATGCGTATGTGAGCTTAGCCCATCCCTTGATCCACCAAATCCTTTAAAGGCCTATTATGTGAAAAGCCTTATAAACCTACCCAAGGTTTCTTCCCACACCAATATGGGATAAAGGAAAATAGCTAACTTGCTAGTACGCCTTCATAAGCTCCAACAATCCCCCACCAAGTTGGAAAGTTTCCTTTGACTCAAACAAATGATGTTACTTGGGTGTTATGAAGATTAAACCCTACTTTAATGAGAATAAATAAGAAGATTCCAATTCAATGACATCCTTATAGGTTTAAACCATGAACCTTGTGACCTCCCCGGTTCACCCGCATACATCACATGTTGTCTTCGCGTTCTCCCTGAGTGCTAATATGGTCATGTGCTATAAATCCTTTTCATGACCCTTTAGATGATAAACCACTAATTTTCAATTGAGGCGGCACCACCTCTGCATCATATAGGAAAAGTTTTACAACATCTCCGTTGCTTAGATGTCTCTAAAACATTGTTAAGAGTCATAACTCAACCTTGTTCTTGGCAACGATGTACTATCCTACCTCACATGGATATTTCATTAATGATAATACCTTCTATCACTAGTGACTTTGTTGTTACCCTTTAAACTTGAGAATTAGGAGCACTAATGTCAAGTTGGGTTTCCATCTCTAAGAGATTATATTATGGTTTTAGACCCATGACTCTTGTAACATCCCAAAAATCAAGGGTAAAAATTCCTTTTTTATTATGATCAAAACTCCATTGTAACTTTATCCAAACATTTAAAAGCATTTCAAGACAATTATTAGAGTTCATTCCCAAAGATCACACATTGCGGAAAACACGGGTGTATGCGTTGGGATCAAGTCGGGCCATTTCCTTTCAAACTGGAAGTACCTGAAACCATAAATCACAAACTATAAGCACAGAGCTTAGAGAGTTTCCCAAATACCACATACCACATATACCAAACAATCCACAAATGACATTCATAACAATGAGCCATACCTATCATACATATACCACAATCAATAAAGGTGCTATGTGTTATCCATAGTCTTGTCATTATGCCACGAGCCGCCTCATGGTTTTCCTTGCTAGGTTGGGGGACAAAACCCTAGGTCTTACAGATAAGTGTCAGGAGCCACCTCCGAGTCTTCCATGCAAGCATTACAAAGACAAATAGCATACAATCTCCACCACTTAACTAACTAACTACCAGAGTTCAGACTTTGGTCTTGCATACAGTTTTCTAGGTGCCGCTTCTTGGTCTTTCGTATAAACTTCCATGGGTTACCCCTGGGTCTTCCTATAGTACATAACCCAAATGGGCCAGCATTGGTGCCTTCGACCCATAGAACAGTGAGGAGACTCACCTCGAATACTGAAGTTTACTGCACGAATCCCTAGTTGTTGCCTTGACGACACCTCCAATGTATCAGATCAGATTAACACCCAATTAGCAATTGGTTCCATTCTAAGGCTGACCATCCAAAGTTGGGGTAAAATGACCATTTTACCCCTAGCCTAACATAAACCAAAACTGAGGCCCAAATCCATTAACCAAAAGGTCCAAAATCAAAGGATCCACAAAAGCCCACTAATGGACCAATTTTACAAATTAGGGCCCAACCTCATATGAGTCTTATCCTAAGCGCATAATTTCCTTTATTATAGTTCAGGTTACCTCAAGTAACCCCTTGGGATAACTTGGTCAAAGACAAAAGTCAAAAAGTCAAGATCAACGGCCCGAGTTGACCCAACTCGCTGAGTTGTTCAATAAACTTGCCTAGTTTGCTCAAAACCCAATAGCTTATTACAATAAGCACTCAATCCATAAGGACATGACCCTTAAACCTAGATCTGACTTCCTTGAGATGGAAAACCACGTACAGTTGCCAAATTTACGTTCATGCAAGACTAAATGAAGCTCTTAAGCTTAAAATGGACTTAATAGTTGGCTTAATGCATGCATGACACCAAAATCGTCATAAAGCTTGCAACTTTAAGCCAAATGAGGCCACAAAATGGATAGATCTAAAATGAAAACCCATGAAAAACTCAAACCCTTGGATAATCCGTCAAAGAGTCTAATAATCAAAATAAAACCCCAAAAGAAGAGATCTAATAAATGAAGAAGCAAGGTACAAGCTTTATACCTCAAAGAGACAACATTAAGTGGTGAAGTTATGGATCTAAAGCCTTTCCACCAAGCTAGAAACCTTCACTTCAATGCTCCTTTAAAGGAATACATAAAATCAACACTCCAAGTTCTCCACAAGATCATACACTAAACTATGGAAGATGATACTCGAATTTAGTGTTTCTGGATAAAGGAGGCTGGAAAGGAGGCCTACCAAGAGACTTAAGGCCTTTAAATAGGGTACAACACCCTAAAAATAGTGTTTCCTTCCTAGCTGCCAACTCGCTGAGTTGAGGCTCCTGAACTCTCCGTGTTGGTTCTTTAAACCCATGACTAAAAAGCACCTCGAATCGGCAAGTTTAGGCACCCCAACTCACCAAGTTCCAAAGAGAAATTACATAATTGGCAACCACCTCATATCGGAAAATCGAACGTTATAACTCTTGTGGTAGATGTAACCAAATCTCTCGTCAGAGGTTTGGTAAACGGATATGTCAAGTTCCTACTTGTCTTGATATAGACAACCTTGATGTTACCACTTTTAATTAGTTCTCTCACAAAATTATGTCATAGACCTACATGTCTCAACTTCCCATTACATACCATATTATATACTTTAGATAGTGTGGCCTCACTGTCACAGTAGATGGGTATAAATGGCAGTGTAATATCCTATATACGGGTACCCATGAGTAGATCTCGAATCTACTCTGGCTCTTTGCAGCTGCTGCTAAGGAAATTAGCTCTACTTCCATCGTTGAATAAGCAATGCATGTCTGTTTCTTACTCGCCCAATAAATAACACAGGCAGCTAGAGTATAAATCCAACCACATGTGGATTTTGGGTCATTGGTG